AAAGTTGAGCAGAAAAAAAGTATAATAGTTAATATAACACTATAAATAAAAAAAAAATAAAAAAGAATTTTACGCAAATAATTGTTTTTAAAATTAGAAATTGGAATTGTTTGAAATAAATAAACGATAATAATAGTATATTTATATAAATTTCAATAGAGAAAAAATTAATTTATTATACGATTCTTATACTTTCAAAATTATTATTGCTGTATATAAAACTCATTAATCAGATGCATGTTTAATGAGATGTATATGAAAATATTGAATTTATTTTCTATTTCTGCTGATGATTTTAATATTGCATTTTATACGATTCACAGATAATTTAAATCCACACTTTAAGGATTTCTTTATCTATTTTCTAGAGAAATATTCAATTTGCATAAACATCTGTAATCCAATGATAAATAAAATGAAACGAGGTAAATTATGGTTGCACATTAAATAAAGAATACCTTAATCACTCTGGGTTTCTCTTTGTGTTCGCAATTACATTTGAATTATTCAAGCTTGAGAATCTTTTGATAAATATCTTTTGTTAAATTCTTGTTTACTTGTTTTGCATTAAATATACAAGTTTTAATAACTTATCATGTTGTTTCTTAAGAGATTTATATTTTTATCTGATTCGTATTTCGTAGTTATTATATAAGCTGTTTCATTTAAATCGATTATTTAAATATATATTTTAGAAACTATTGATGATATTGAAAAATATTTTCAACAAAATCTGAATGATTTGATATTTGATATAAGAATATTATTTGATATAAGAAATAAAAAGAATTTGGAAATCAATTTTTTCTAAAAATATGAAGAATATTTGGAAATCAGCCTTATTTTTTTTTGATTAATTTTTTTTTAAGATATCTATATAAATCTAATCATTCTATAAAAATCTATAAAAAGATATTAATTTATTTAATATTATATTTATTCAAAAACCATTTGTATAAGAGATATTTTAGTTTAAAATTTATGAAATATATGAAAAATAAAAAAGGCATGAAAAACTAGCAAAATTTAAAATTTAAAATTATCAAAAAATATTTTTTTCATAAAAAATCGAAGTTATCTTAAATTTTTTAATGAATCAATATATTTTTGATCTGACAACATAATAAAAGCTGATATTAAAATGATTTCAATAATTTTATAATATCATAATTTTTAAATGATTTTGAATTTAATAGATTTTACATATTTTTAAATAACATGTATTATATTTTTTTATCAAATTATTAAAAATGCTTGAAAAATTCTGTACTTTATTTTAATACTTTACATTAATTTAATAAATATTGTATATGTATTTGGTGTACATATTTAGATCATGAATTGAATTTTTACGAAAGAACATAATTTATGTTGAATAAAATCGCATTGAATGTATACTACTTTAAGACAACTTACATTAAAACTGTACTTTGTTGCTGCTCATTATTTTTATAAATGTAATAAAATGTTTCTGGATGACAGAATTGAAATATTTGCAAGAGAAATATTTATAATCGAATATAGCATGAGATAGAGAGAAAAATAGAAAAAGAGAAAAATCATGTCGCAATACCTCGAATCGTATATATATTTATTTGTTTCTCCATTCCTTTTCCTTGTATAATAACAAGTTGTAAGCATAAATTTTATTTTATCTCCACATAAATTTGCATTGTAAAAAATAATATGTTATAAATGGTTCCATAATTATTATTATTAAATGACATTCGCGCACTTCTTTATTTAATAATGAACCGGAAAAATCACAAATATTGAAATATAATTGTCACATTTACAAGCGTATAAAAGTTTTTTTGAGATGAACGAATAAAGAAAGCGGATAGTACATGAAAGAAATGAAAGATGATTAAAAAGCATTTCTTTGTAATTCTCGTTGAAACTGATTTAAAAAAACTTGAAAAGAAGAAAAAAAATTTTATTAAATTTGTACAAACGAACTATACGCGAACTATGCTGTTGGAATTCGCAAAGGTTATGTTAAGAAACTAAACTGTACGAATACGAATTTGGACGAACTTAGCCGAACTTTGACGAATTATATACTGTCCTTAATCATATAAGTCTTACGTCGCTTCATGTCTACAAATTTAAAAATTTAAAAAACAAGATGTCTAAATAGTTTTAATTTGAAATAAATCAATATATATGGTAATGTTAAAATATTTTTGTATTTGTATGTTAGCTTTTAATCTTTATTAAGCTGATATTTATTATTTACAAATTTTTTTATATTAATATCAACTTATTCATTAGTTTCTTCTTCAGCGATTTTAATGGCTTTGAATATATTATATATATTGACAGTATTATATTAGCGATCATATATATCAATAAATAGACTTGATCAAAATTTATTTTCCTTCATGGATTTAAATTGGATTTTTTAAAATTATTTTTGTCACATTTAAATCACATTTAAATTTATGTACAACCTTTGGCAAAAAGTTTTCGATCATTCTTTAAAATAAAATAATTTTTTAATCTTACAGAATACGAATTAAAATTACATTAATGCATATATTAAATCAAAACTATTATGTTTTTTTTTCTGAATTTAAATATTATTTTATTAATTTCGTATAGAAAATAATTATTAATGCTTAAAGATATATTTTTTTATTAAAAATATAAATATAAAATTATAATATAAAACATAATAGCATATATTTTTCAAATTTAATATCTCAAACAACTTGAATTTATTTGATAAAGTAGAAAGATAAGGTTATTAAATGAGATAAAAAAAATTTTAGAAAAATTGCAATTGGTCAATATTATGCAAAAAATATTAAAAATTTTTTTTATCTGAATTTATAATGAAAAGTTAAATAATACATTTTGTAAATTTATATAAATAAATGCTGAAATTTATATAAATAAATCTTAGTTGCCTAAAAATTATTTTATATTTTATATAAGCAGTTAAAAAGTGGCGATAGTGCATGTTACAAACGCATAAATAAAATTCAATATATTAAAATTGAATAACTTGAAAACTTAGGTCAACCTCTGTTTATATAAAGAAAAAAATTACTTAAAATGTTTTTTTTATGACATTTCAAAATCATTAAAATCGATTTGCCATATTGTTTCATAACATTTTAATACTTTACATAATTTAAAAAATTTACATTAATTCAACCGATACAAATTTAAAATCGATTCATTATATTGTTTTATAATATATTTTATTAAAATTCTATTACACAATTTAAAAAATTATATTCAATTATTAATATAAATTATAAAAAAAAATAAAACAATTAATTAGCACGTATATATGTCAAAAATCGTCATATTTCTCTCTCAATTTTTCTGGCTTTATTTTTCTATGGTTATTATAGATGGCGTTTATTACACCATGAAATATATAATTTCAATCGTTGTGTCATTTCCAACATTGTCATGATTAATCCAAGCAATATCGACAAGTGAACATTTATTGATTCTTTATGATTGCTTGCACTAGCACACTCGAAGAAAGAATTATAAATGGGAAAATGGCAAGATATATTAACGAGAACATAGTGTCGAAAAGCGTATAAGAAAAGACAGACAGAGAGATTATTCGAGGAGAAAAATTGGCAATCCAACGCGATACTCAATTATTTGATACGATCGAGGGTGTTCCGTAATTTAATTCTTCGTAGACGTAAACGATGCGTGTCACGCGATTCAATTACCGGACGAAGTATCATGGCATCCATGATGACGGATAAAGGAGAGATGGCGTACTAGTGGATTAACGGAACCGTTCTAATTTTGCAGGTGGCGCGATTAGTTACGATTGCTGCCGACACCGTGTGCAACAGTTCACACGATTAGCTCTCTAATTGCACGCATATTCAATCGAATATTTTCCAATAAAATAATGTGATAAAAATTTTGGGATTCTCCTATTTTATATGTAAAATATGATACCTAGTTAAAGGAAAAAGGTAAATCAATATTGGACAAAATTATCTAAAATCAATCAATGAATGAAATTGTTAAATTAATTATGAAATGATAATAATTTTTATTATTTTCTTACATATCTGATATTTATTGTATATCTTTTTTACAATATATAGAAACAGTTATAGAAAATAAAATATAGTTACTGAAAATTTTATATCATATTTTTGCATGAATAAAAAAATTTTGTTTTTTTGAAAGAAGACAAAAGTTTATAATTAAATAGAAACATTTATTACTATTATAATTTGTTACAATTTATATTTTAAATAAGTTAAAATTATAATAGATTTCTTATTGAGGGATATATATAATTATTCCTAAAAATATATTAATATAATTTTGTTTTTTATCTAAGATATATACATATATGTAAAAGAACAAAAATGGATAATAATATATTAATATATATATAATAATAATATATATATTATTATAATATATTAAAATATAATATAGATATCAAAATTTGATAGATAAAAAACTTTTGACTTAAGATATAAAGCATTCTTTAAATATTCAAAAAAGAATAAAAAAAAAGAATTAATTTTTATTACAAAAATATTCAAATTCACTTTAGAAATGCAAGATGAAAAATTATTCATAATAATATTTTATAAAAGTTTATTTGATACACTTTTCAATGTTTTAAATTATTTGACACGATAAAAAATATTTTAATGATTAAAGTTGGTTTATATATTTTTTTTTTTAGCAATTTTACGATTTATTTTAATATTTAAAATATTCTTATTTTAGATGACAGAATATATGTTCAATAATATAAATTTGTTTAAGTTCTTTATAAATTCAAAATGCATTTTTTTTTAAATTTGTTTTATCAATTATTCCAGTATTCGAATTTGTGCAATAATTTTTAAAAAATAGAGTACTTAAATATTTTCATTATTAATAATAGTCGCATTAAACAACTTCTATATAATTTTACAAATGAAACATTATATATAATGATAAAAAATTTTTTTCAAAATCAAGTTTTCTTATAAGATTTCAGTTACGGATGTTTTTTTTTTTTTTTAAAGTTGATGACTTCTAATTTATTATTAATTTTAATTCATACATTTACAATTGTCCTTCAAATGTTTGTATCAACATGTTTCTGGACATGAGTGATACTTTCAATTAATTCATTTGAGTACAATATTTCATGTTATTAGTGGTTAGATGATAAAAATGAAACGTTCCTTTGTAATTCTGTCGAAAAGATAATTGAACTTTTTTTAAGTCATAGTCGACATCAACAGACTTATTATTCAATTTGATATTAATGTAAAGCTTTTCCATTAACCTCTGATTGTTCTCGTCTCCGACTGTTTCTCTTTCATCTTTGTTGATAGAATAGTGAAATATATTTCTGCAATTCGTTCGTTGCAATGATTTAAATTAATGTATTATGAATTGGACGTCAAAATTCTATTTTAATTAATCTTAGCAGAATGTGGCTTTCGAGATGTAATATTTCAATTTTCCTTCGCGTTTCCAATTAAAACGAAATTACGGTTTAAAGTTGTAGACAATATTGCTTTGTTTTATCTTCTTTCAATACAGGATATCTCTGAAATTATAGGTATTATACAATTACAAAAAAGAAATGATTGAAAAACGAACAATTTATAAAGTAAAATAAAAAAGAAATCAGATCAAAAAGAATCCTATTCAGAAATCATGATGTTTTTTTTTAAATTTTACAATGATTTTTCTAAATATATTGAAATTTTCTTTTAATAAATAATATATTAAATGTACAATTAAAATTTTTGTATTATTAAAGAATTTATTTTAACGAACATATTAATATTTGTATATAACTTTTAATCAAAACAAGATAACATTAAAATGAAACTTGTGAAGAAATTATAAAATATTTACAAACTTTCTATCAATCGTCTATATATTGTTTTTAGATTTTTTAAATTCAATTTTTCCATGATTTTTTTATTTCTTATGGTTAAAAAAAGTCAGAAAAATTGGTTAATCAATAGTTAAACTTCAAATAATTAATTTTTATATTAAATATATTCTTATAAAAAATTTTATATAAGACACTTGTTTCATGTTGCTATAACTGAAACTATTGGAAAACTTTTCGTTTCAGAATTATAACATAAAATTCAACTCGATATTCAATGAATTTAATGAAATATTTGAGTAAAATAAATATTCTTTTTCTTTAATAACAAGAAGCAAAGTTTAAGGAAATTCACCTAACTTATTTTAACTTATTTGAATGAAAATTTATGTGTATGTACAATGGGTTATACATTGAAGCAACTTTTTTATTAACAAGAAATTCTCTTGACAGGGTGAATTAACTACCAAAGTTTCAGCATCTTTTCGTACTTTGAATGCAATTTTGCTTGGAATTTATTTTTACAATAAAATCTTAAAGCGTTAAATAATTCTAAACATTTTGTAATGTTGAAAATTTTGTTTTATCTTGCATCATTACGCCTAAAAAATTATTTTATATGCATTTACAAAAAATATTAATACTACGTAATGTATCTTTTTACACTAAATAACTTTTGTAAAAATATTTTTTTTCATAATAGATATTTTTTTTTAAAAAGATATTTTCATTGTATTTTACATTAAACATATGCTATACATATTATTCATTTATTCAAGATTAATTATATATTGATACATTTGTATCATTTAATATTGTTGAAATATATTTATTACATATAAAATATATGTTCTTGTAATAGAAAATTTTATTTAAATTAAAACATTTATTTTCAAGAACTTCTTTTATCTTTTTTCGTCGAATATGAGAATTTAAAAAAAAAATTCCACGATTCATGAAATATATGGAATATAAATGAAACCTGTAAAAAATTTTATAATCGTTTTAATAAATACAAATTATTCGTGAATTATCTATTATATAAAAAATGATTCAAATAAAGATTGAGTAGTTTCAACAGAGACGTAATCTGCAATTAGTTTTCTATGTGTAGATCATATGAGGATTATTCATTCATTTTTTCCTTTTAATGGAATCATAATATATTTGAGGAAAATTCATTATTTTTATATATAATTCAAAAACTTGTAAATTCTTTAAAAAATAGATCATCAGATGAGAAATTGTTTTAAAAGAAGAAGAGAATTAACTGTAAAGTTTTGAATTATATATAAAAAATAATGGATTTCTTTCTTTTTAATAATATTTAATTTGTAATCATTTTCCTCACATTTTTCATCTTTTTTTATAAATATTTTTTATTTTTATCGAATATGCTTCGATTTTTGAAATGTGCGATTTAAAATGTGTTAACAAGGAAATATATAATTATTGATATTATTAATAATTAATTAATAACATTATTATCGATTAATAATATATATATACAAAATTTAGATATATTGCATTAGTTTCGAGAAATATTGAAAATCATAGGTTATCATTTAACTATCATTTTGAGTATACGAATATTTTTTAATTTAAACATTTTTATCATAGAAATATGCATTCAAATAACATTCTTTAGCCAAGACACCCTATAGAATAGTAACCGAGATGAAATCAAGGAAAGTTTCGAAGTATAAATTACCTTTTCCGATTTGTTCCAAGCCATGAAGCACGAAAGCATAAACTTTTGAAATTCAAGCAAGCACAATCATTGTTATTCTTCTTATACATTTTTCACGTACACATTCGTTATGCTATTTTATAATCGTTCGTTTGGTGCAATAGCAATGAAATCAAGTATAATGCATAATATACATTTGAACATTGACAGTGTAGATAAAAAAAGGCACTATTTTTGAGAAAAGCAAAGCTATAATAATAATAATAATAATAATAATAAATCAATATAATATTTAATAATAAATTTCAGAATATTTACTTTTCTATTAATAATTGATATGTATCCCAATCTTGATTCTATGACTGACACTTGTACTCATTTTGAGGTTAGGAATAGTACACGAAGATCAAAGTAGAAAATAAAATGAAGGATTAATCTTATTAATATCATATTGTAGATCGCTAGATAAATTTTTAAATTTTACTTAAATTTACAAGAATATACAATAATACGATCATTACTTGAGATCATCTTTGATTATATTTCAATAATGGAATAGTTCGAGAATTTAGCTAACCTTATATTTAACTTCAGCTCCCTCTGGTGTGTTACATCGAAAGTAAAAATGAGAAATAGTGAATGAGGCAGAATATATAGTAAGATCACTTTTTTATTATATTTCATTAATTTTTATATTAATATTTTGTATAAATTCTATAAACAGATAAATTGAAATAAAAATTAACGAAAATATATTTCATATTGTACTTTAATCGTACAAATCTCGATAATTCAATTATAACAAAATATTTTGTATCTTATAACATCTTATAACAAAATGATAAAAGAATAAAAGAAAAATTATATTTCTCTTAATATTCCTGTAATTTAGCATCAATTAAATATAAATCACTCGTCGATTGTAAATAATAAATCAAAATTTGTTTCAAAATAGCGGTGGATCGATGACAATATTTCAAGGCCATACAAATGAACACAATTCATGATTATACATGAATATTCGAACATTGTTATACTTCACAAATACTGAAGTAAATTATCGATATTATTATTAATACTCGAAATGAATCTTTTGCTCGAATTTATTTTGCTTCGATTTATACGTGTACACAGTAAACTTGATTCCATTATTCTCGCGACTTTTGTTCATTTGCAATCTTTCTTCAGTCTATTTCTAAAAACCACATTTCCACAGTTTGTCGTTATTTCGATTCATTTAATTGCACCTTTTGTTCCCTTATCGGTACGTTCACGTACGAAGCGCGTCGGAGAACCTCAATCTTTTCACACGGATTCTAATACACAGGAAACTATGGTTATCCTTTTTTTTTCGTAAAATCAGCCCTTTCACCGTGCTCTTTTCAACCTTTTCCTCTGCTCGATAAATTACGTTTTCGAAAAATGTTACGCGGAGATCTTGTTTTTTCTCATTTTTCTTTTCTCTTTTTCGCGCGCAATTAGAACGAATGGATGAAGAGTTTATCGAGTAAAAATATTTAAACCAACTTTTATCTTCTCTCGAAATGTTTTGCGTTCAAAATTTTTGTTAAAATATCTCATTTGTTTCTATTCTCAAATATGTTCGAACTATAATTTAATGTTTTTCCTATTGAATTTCTCAAGTGCAAATGAAATAAATAAATAATTAAATAACAATGAAAAAAACAAAAATGTTACTAGTTGTAATGAATTTCAAAAGGCAAAAAAAATCAATTATTATGCATCAATAATGCTCTTTTACTGAATATTTATTTTGAATAACATGCACTATATCAGATACATCGTTTACTTATCATATAGTAAGGTTATGTTTTACTAAAAACATTTCTTGCAAATATAGTAACTTATATGTCACGAAAAACTTTACTATGGTACTTGCTAATATAATAATATAAATCAGAATAATAGAAGGAAATCTAAAATTACTAGATTATTTTTAAAAAAGAGAAAAAAGAAAATATTCAATTTATTTCTAAGTTATTTCCAGTAATCGAAATGGATATAAAATCTCTACAATTTTTATTTTTTTTTTAAAGTATTAGTATCATTTTTTTAAGCTCCATTTACTGGTTTTTTAAATTTTTGGATAAAATTTACAGAAAAATCACGCAGAATTAGAATTTTTAGAATTTTTTGAATCCATACAAATAAAAATCGAAACTTTTTTTATGCAAAAAATGATAGTGATATTTGTTTAAAAAATACAATTTTGCAGTTAATTTATATTATTATTATATTATTATAAATTACAGACTTATTCTAGTTTTATTACTTTTCATTATCTAGATCATTATTATTCTTTATCTATAAGTTAATATTATCTTATTATAATCTGTTGATAGAGAGATTTTTACGAATTTTATTATAATTCGTAACATGTTCACTATCATTTACGTCGAATTCTCTTAAATCAAGCAGTATTAATTATTCAAAAATAAAGAAATTGTTGTGTGAAATAAAATATTTAATATAACCATGTAAATTCAGCTCGTAAAAGCTTCAAATAAATAAATAAAAAAAAAAATAAATAAAAAAAGAGAGAAAAAGAAAAAAAAAGAATCAATAGAATATAAACGTGGAAAATTGGAAACTGTTTGGAATAGTCAAAAAATTCGATACGGTATTGGTTTATATACGGTGAGAAACATTTTGCAATTTCATCGATAGAAAAATAAACATTTTCTAAAACGATTGGTCAGAGGATTGTGAAGTACCAATACAAGACTGAAAGAAAAATTCGATCATTTATTACCAGATTTGTAAATCATGTTATCATATGATATTCGACATCTATCAAACAATTTTGACAGAAATACGATATCTTGTCAAATCCTTTTAAAATCCCCAAAACGTTTCACATTCGATAGTTTTTACTTTTTATTATTATTTATCATGAATCGTATAAACGAAACGGTGTTCCTTTGGATGACTGTTTGCAACAGAAATCGGGGAAAATTTTTTGATTTTTTGCGCAAAAAAATAAACACTTCTCTGCTTTTTAATTTGTCTATAAATTGCAAATCTGTGATTTATAACAAAAATATTTTTCATAGTAATGATGCAGATTGGAATTTCATCCTAAATTGCTCGGTCATAATTACGCTTCCATCGAAATCCAAATCTAGGATTTTTGATAAAATTTTTAATAGTGAAATCTTTTCACATCCAGAATTGGGCAAAATTACTTACTATTATCAAACGATCAATTGATTCGTTGATTAATAATTAAGAGAAGTAATTGTAAAAAAAGTAATAATAATACAAATAAAAAAAATAAATAGATATATGAGACACTTTTGGAGAATCTATTGCAAAACAAATATAAAAGTTATAAATATATTAAAATATTAATTGAGCTTTATCTATCAAAATTGCAAGTAATTTAATTAAATGGAGATAGAATGAGAAATTGAGTATAATATTAAATTGTTTTTAACAAACAATTATTTTTGTATATACCAACTTCTGCGTTTGTTTTAGATTATTTATTTTGCTTTAAACTTTGCAAAAATATCTTGCGAAAATATTAACATTTTGTGTATTGAAAATGATCTTTATTCTAAACAAATTTGAATTGACACTTTATCCATTAATATCCCTTTTCTTAAAATATCTGTATTAACAAACATTTAGATAAATATGTAAGAAAGGCGAAATTTAACATAAATCTTATTTAAACTAGCAAATAAATAAATAATAAAAATATTCTAAACATTTATAAAATATAATATATTCTATTTAACATATATAATTCTTAAAATAATAGTAAAACGTGTAGAAAAAAGTTAGTCAAAGTAAAATGCCTGAAAACATATTTCAAGGTCATCGAAATCAATAATGAGATCACCTCTTTTAATTAATTAACGTTCATTATAATTCTTAATTTTAAAACATTTCAAAAAATTTACAAAAGATATTTTTATATTCCGAAATATAATGTAACTATACAATTTCAAACTTCTGAACAACAATTTCTGTCTGTGTACACTATTTACACTACGATTTACTATTACACCATGATCATAATGCATAAAAGACAACGAAGGGATTAAAAGTGTTTAATGAGTATCGATATTCGATGCTTTCAAAAAAATTAATTTGCTCCAACTATTTTTTTGCGAGTGTTAATCATCATTAAGAACAACGTGGGATTTTCTATTATTTTAGACCGTCTTCTATCCCGATGAACGATCGTCCTGGCCTAGATTTTCGAGAAATCGTAATTGCAACTCCGTTTTTTTCTTTCTCTCTCTCCCCCTCCTCTCCCTCATGAATATTTCTCTGGATATTTCCTTTTCAATTTCAACCGGTTTCATTGGAGACTTGTTTATATATCTGGAAAGCTTATGTTAATGAGGTAACAAGCGAGAATACCGTTGCTATCTCTTTTATGCAGAGGCTAAGATAAAACGTTTTCGAATTTTCGCGTATTCCGATAACCTTTTTATCCCGTGTTTGGGACAGTTTTAAGAGGACAAAAGGTTGGAAAGTTGGAAAGAGCTGTCAGATTTTACGGAGGACGAAAGGGTGGAGGAAATGGCAAACAGGAAATGGAGAACGAGAAATGTATAATCGGCGAAGTTGCATTAGAGTAACACTTTTGGATTATGTGATTATGTTGAAGAAATTGCGCTAAAAACTAATTATTTATTTTACATTATTGATTCGCAACTTTTGCTATATGTCAAATTTTTAAATGATTTTTTTTAATAAAAGGAAATAAGATCGAGAAAAAAAATTAAAATTATGAGAATTTAATATTTCTTATAAGTTATCCTTTTATTTTACCAACCAAAAAATATCACAATTGTATCGCACAATTGATTAGTTTTGAAACTCTCATCTTTATTGTTAAATAGAAATGTGTATATATATATATAAAATTTAGATGATTATTCTCATTGATAATACTAATATTCGATATCATTGATCGATCACATCATATTCATATTCAAGCTTAGAACAAGAATGAAGTAAAATTAAAAAAATTAATTCTTGAATATACTGTACCTTCTTGTAAAATGTATACAGGAATTAAGCATATATATATATATCAGTCTTCTTTTAAAAATGGATGAGATCATTAATCTTTTTATTTAAATTGGAAGAATTAATTAAAATAGAGTATAGTATGAAGTAATCATTATAATGAAGAGAAATTTTGAGAGGATGAAGGAAAAAGAAAATAAAAAACTTCCATTAATATGCATTGAATTTTGTCTGTATATACATATCTGTAATAATAAATATAACAGTATATTGCTCTATTTGCTGATTTCATAAACACTTAATAGTAACAGTTTAGTTATAGTATAGTATAGTTTATACTTAATAGTATAATGGCCAATGACACAACTAGTGCCATTATTAAGTACTAATATATTTATATATTTATTTATGCCTTTTTTAAATTATTTTTTTTACTCTTCAAATATTAATGCTATTCATTTTTGATATGAAAGCTAAATTTTTACCAACGTTTCCAAAAGTATTGATCTCATTTAATTAA